CTTCACCTCCTGTAGTCATGTAGAGCTGTAGCAGAGATATGGTATAGTCTGAGGAAAGACATGCAGACAAGCCTTGGAGAGCTCCAAAACTAATTAGCATGACCACCCCCCCAGGGTCCTCTCATTGGCACGGGGTGCACCTCATCTTTGGGCCATGAACCATCAGTACAAATGGTAGATACCATGGTGTCTTATGCAAGAAAGGTTTTCTTTATACCCTGGTGCTGTGGTCAGAATTAGGCTACATGATCAGGCTCTGAAGCAGAAACCAACAAGATGGAAACCAGTTCAGAAACCTCTCTATGAACAATGGTGACCAGCTAGTGCAAGTTTTCCCCAGGATTTTGATTGTAAACACAGAACTGCATTAATAGCTCTTTAGCACAATGTGTTTAGCTTTGGCCAAGGGTTCCCAGGGATAAATACAGGGTTGCAGCAGAAACACAGTTCTTACACTCCCACCCTTAGTTAAATGTTTAAATCATCTGTCAGTCTTCTTTTACAAAATTTATGGGATAGAAAAAGAGTAACAGTACACTACTAATTACTTACATAGCAACTGAGCCATAAATATAATTACTGCAGTTTACCAGATATCACAGTGGAAACCTGTTCTCGATTGTACACAAGCTTTATTAGTCTTTCTCCCACAGAACATTTAATTTTGTGAAATATTATTCAGTGTTACAATTATTCCTTAAACCTAGTTCTGCCTGGTCAGTCACCTTCCACCAGAAAAATGTCTTGTAGGAGTCCTAACTTGTTTCCTAATTTTAGGTATCCATGATTTCAGGATTTCCCAAGATTTTTTTTTCTCAAAAAAATATTCAGTTCTTGTTTATCTTCCGGAATGTTGCCTTTGCCTGGGGAGAGAGGATCCTCTTTGTTTGAGGAGCTGCAGGCTGTTTTCCAGAGCAGCTGCCCCATTTTACGGGCTGCCAGCCATTTATGAGGGTTTGGACTTCAGGTTGCCAGCACTCGTGAGCTGACATTTTGAATTTGGCCCTCTTGATAGGTGTGAAGTAGAATCTCACCATGAGTTAGAGTTGCACCTCCTCATGTATGTGTTGCCATTTGTAAATCTCTGTAGAGAAATGTCTGTTCAGGTCCTTTGTCCTTTTTTCTTTTGATTTTTGAGTCAGAGCTTTCTGTGTAGTTCTGGCTGGCCTTAAACTCACCGCAGCCCTCGTGTCAGCCTCCTGAGTGTGGGAATAGGTGTGCACCATCACACTTGGCTCCCTTGTCTGTTTTTATTTAGGTTATTTTGCCTTTCTATTGACTTGTGAGAATTCCTTATGTAAGCCTTTTATCAAATATGATTGATTTGCAAATGTTCTCTGTAAATTTTTTTTTAACTCAAAAGTTCATTTCAGTGCAAGTTTTTTTTCTTTAATAATTCATAATTTTGGTATCTTACCTAACATTGTTAAGTATTTATGTAAAATCCAAGAACATAAATATTTACCCCTAAAAGTTTTATCTTTTGGCTCTTACATTTTAGGTCTTTATCTGTGTTAATTTTTGTATCTAACACAAAGCCAAGTCCAATTTCATTGTTTCTTAAATGGTCATCTTCTTCCAGCAGCATGGATTGAAAAGATTACTCTTTCCCAGCTGAACGGTCTTGGCAACCTTGTTGAAAGTCGCTCAGCATACATGTGTGGGTCTATTTCTGAGCTCTCAGTTCTGTTCCATTGATCTCCCTAGGGCTCTCCTTGTGCCAGGTATTGCTTTGTGGTAAATTATAAAATCACAACATGGGCGTCTTCCCACATTATTCCATTTGAAGATTGATTTGCCTTTTTTGGGTCTTTTGTAATTCTGTGTGAATTTTAGAATCAGTGTCGATTTTTACAAACACGTAAGTTAGTATTCTTAGAAAAATTGTCTGTAGCAGTCATTTTGGAGACAGTTTTCTTGTTAACAGTGATCCATGAACATGGGATGTTTTTCCATTATTCTATGTCCTTTTTAATTTCTTTCAGCAATATACTTTTCAGAGTATAAATTTTGTGGTTCTTTTATTAAATTCATCTCCATGTATTTTGTATACTGCTGTGAAGGTAATTATTAATTTAATTTTTTGAGTGTTCATTGCAGATTATGTCACTTTTCTGTTATAGCAAATGCCTAAGGCTAGGTATGTTACAAAGAGAAGAATTTTATCTAGCTCACAGTTTTGGAGGCTGAAAGTCCAGGCCTATCTGTTCAGCCTTTGATGAAGGCAGCTGTGATAAGCAGGGTGGAACACGTGGGAGTGGCCATTGGGTGGGGGGACGGGAAGCCAGAGCTTCAGGGCCACGCTTGTGCTCTCAGGAACCGCCTGGGCCCAGCCCGCAGGGAGCCGCACTAGCTGCCTCCAAAGGCAGTGCCACCAGCGAGTTGACCACCGCCTGCTCCCTCAGCGCTTCCAGTGCTGCAACCTCAGAGGGACACACTCAAAGCACAAGTGGATAAGCATCTAATTGGTGTTGTAATAATAATTTTAGTAATTGTCCATATATTTACAAATAAAAAAATATCCCATGTTTTCCTTTTTATCTGGGATGTAAATTTCTTGCCTAACTGCGCTGCTCAGAACCTCAAGAACGTGAGTGGAGGAATAGAAGAGGCAAAATGAGGCCTGTTATCTTCTTCCTGATCTTAGGGACAAGGCTTCCAGTATTTCAAAACTGAGTATGCTTTTGGGGGGTTTTCATGGATGCCTTTTAAAGCCATTATACTTTAAGTAGCTAGTAAGCCCCCACTTTGATTTTTAGAAAAGGCTTTTAATGTCTTTAATTGTATCGATTCCTTCTAAATAATCCTAGCCATTTTATGCCAGTCAGTCTGATTCAGAAGGAACTGAGCTAGTAAGCCTATGATAGCTTCCCTCGCATCATTAAGAACTTGTGCCAGTTATAACATGAAACAGAGCGTTAGGCTTGCAAGAGACATAGACTTAATGTGGCTCTTGATTTATACTAGTCCATGACTTTTTGTTGGGTTAGCAAAACACCACCGCATTCCAGATTTATTTAGTAATGATATTAATTTAACTCCTAGTTTAAGTGCTTATCTGTGTATTTCAAGTGTGATTCGTACAGTTAATTTGATTTTTTTTTAAATTTTTTTGAAGCAGGGTCTTGCTATGTAGTCAAGGCTGGCCTTGAACTGGCTAGATAATGCAGGCTGACCTAGAACTCAAGACAGTCCTCCTGCCTCAGCCTTCTGAGTGCCAGCATTAACTGACACGTGCCGCCATGCCCAGGAAGTTAATTTGATTATTAAAACATTTTCTAGCATTTTCAGACGTTGAAAATTTGACCTAAAACCACTGCAGCATATGCTTCAGATGTTAGATGACTGTCCAAGGGATTAGTTAATATAAATTTACATCAAATCAGTGTAGCAGTACATTTCATAAAGTTCAGTCTTTATGGAGGGGAAGAAGTAAAGGGGCTGTCACTCATGTACATGATTACAAACAGATTTACACTGGAATATTTGGTAAACTACAGTGTTTAAAATTATACCTTATTTGATATCAATTACTATTTGGGTGTTCCTTTTCTATTATGCAAATATAAAAGATATAAAAAGAAAACTAGCAATGGATAATCTGACTGAGAAAGTTTGTCAGAGGGCTGGACAGATAGCTCAGCGGACTAAAGCACCTGCTTAGGCAGGCGCAGGGACTGGGATTCAACCCCCAGTGTGCCATGCTGGCTCCGGTCCCGGAGCATGCTGAGATGGCATTTGAGATTGGGAGTGGTAGTGCACCTGTAATCCCAGCACTTGGGAGGCTGAAAACAGGAGTTCGCTATGAATCTGGTCTGTGTAGTTAGACCCTGTACTAAATACAAGAGAGAAAGACAGACAGACAAACAGACCAACAGACAGTGAACGAACAAGCATGAGCATGAGAGCGAGCGGAGAGGGCACGAGAGCAAACGAGCATAAACTCAGCAGGTCCATTGCGACCTTGGTCTGTGCTCATCTGTAGACATCAAGAGAATGTGATGCTGACATTTGGCAACCCTGAATGAAATATACTAATGAATGTGGCTCCATCCTAGGGTCCAAGATAGATTGGAGGCAGTTTGCACTAGCTTTAATAGAACATATTTGTACTGCTTTTCTGTCACATTCTCTTGTATTCTGCTCTTGAGCCTGACATGTAACCTGCTTTTTGCCTCCATGACCAGAGAGGTACAAAACCTCTCCTTGAACAAGACTAGGGTCCCCTTAGGCCATTGTATCCAGCTGAAAAATTAAGTGCATCCTATGCTACTGAGGTAAGATCCTGGGAGCTACTGTAGACATCTTGGACCCTGCTAATGCTTCTCTGATTTCTTTCTAATTGCCAGAATCCCTGCCTTGTTCAGTGGTTCATGGAACCGTATGCTGTGTGGCCTCAAGAATCCTAATTATATGATCTGTGTATTTGCTGCAGTACCATATTATTTTTTAAATGTGGCTCGTGTTGTTAGTGAAATTTTGACTTGTGATTGGGTTCCAGCATTCTGTCAATCAGAAGTAATATTCATGGATTTACAACATGGAATGAAACGTAGTCACATATAGTAGTGCAATAAACGTAGTCTGTTGCACAAGTAAGATTGAAATGATAGCCCGTGCTGCTGCATTCTGTTCTGCTTTCAGCCCCACAGCTGTGTCAAGTAATGCACAGCCTACACTGGAAGAACATTTGTCTAAGATTTTGTAGGTAATTGTTTCTCATACTCAGTATGACAGTTACCAGGTTCCTATTTATAGAAAGTAGCTCCAGTAGAGTGTCCAAATTTATTAATTTTTGAAGAAAAAGGTATTCTTATGCCTATTTCACCACTTTGTTATTCTTTCATTCATTTTTAGGATACAAACGTAATCCACCATCCCAGAAAGCGAGCTCTTAAGAGTAACCCCCAGAAGAGTCCTCACACATTAGTATATTTTCATAGAGAGACTGAAAACATTTCTCATTGTTTGCGTCTGTGTTCTCTCTCTTCCCTTTGCAGGGGAAGCAAGGCAAGCACATTTTGTATGGCTGCAGTGAGCTTTTCAATGCTACGCAATTCATGAGACAGGTAAAGTGCACCTTTCCATCTGTTCTTTTGACATAATCCGAGTCGCTGTGGATAGTTTTCGAAAGGGTAGAAGAGTCTTTGTTCATTTGGAACAGCTAAAACCAAGAGCCATACAGCTGTTAAAGTTCCAGCATCTAACATTATTCTCCTTATTCCAATTCTTCAAAGTCAGGGTAGTGTAGTCAGTTAGGCATGATTGAATTCAGCGCTGCCCTCTATACTGTTCACACGTCTTCACTGTGCCACACATATATGTAGCTTCATTGGCACTAGTATGCTCCCAGTTGATACACCAAAATTATATTCCCCTTGAAAGTTGATGACAGCAGTAGCCAAGATATGCTGGTTGTCTATATGGTCCTTTTAGAGATGTTCTCACTAATGTTCTCTGTAATTATGTGACCTTAGCTTTCTTAAATTTTAATTAGGACTGATTGACCAATAATGTGTATTGATTTTAATGAAAATCCTAACTCCGCCATATACTTTCTTTTAACAATGGTCTAGCATTGATTTTCCAGCACAAATTCCTTGCCCTAATGTGCTTCGTATATTTTTAATATAATTTGGTGAGAATTTCAGACTTACAGAAAAGTTAGTGGTAAATGTGCAGGTATTCGCTGCAAATTCTCTTCAGTATTCTGCTATACTTGCTTTATAACTTATCTCAATCTATTAATTTCTCTAATTTCAAAGCATATTATAGCTTACAGTGCCAATATCATTAGCTAAGGTTCATTTTTTGTATTCCCTCTTCTTTGGGGGTAAAACATACAGTGAAATACAGAAGTTCTTAAACGTACTTTTTGAAGTTTTGCGAGATAGGGTTTCCTGAGTGTCCCAGAGTATTACATCACCCCAGAAAGTCTCTTACGTCCTTTTCCAGTCAATCACTGCCCAAACAGCATTTGACATTTTTCCATTATTGATTAGTTTTATCTGTCTTACACCCTCATAGAAATGGCATTGTTCTTCTTGGTTAGGTTACCAGTAAATCTCAGTTTTCTTCATCTGTTTTAATGAATCAGATGTTTTCTTATGTTAGTTTTCTCTATTTTTTTTATTTCTACCCTTTATATTTTTCCTTTGATTCCTTTTTCCTAGCTTTCTAACTTGGAATCTCACTTATTAACTGTAGTTCTTTCCTAAAATAAGCATTCAAAGCAATAAATTTCCTTCCAGATATTTTTATAGCATTTCACACATTTGTGTATGTTACATTATCATTCAGTTCAAAATATTTTGTAATTTGCTTTGTAATCTGTTTTTTAGTTGCAGTATTATTTTTTTTAGGTCTGTTAATGTTAAATATTCCACAGTTTTCTAAATTCCTCTTAGTTTCCTTGGAGTCATATAAGGAAATAATTGTAATTATTCACATAATTTCACTGTTTTGGAACTTCCTTTTATTACCCAACACCAAAATAAAAAAAAAAAGATCTGCTAAAGTTGGGAGTAGTGTTCTGTAAATGTTCATTTTGGTCCAGCTGATAGGATTGTTCAAGTTCTGTCATTGTTTTAGGGAGAATTTTTGTTTATTTTGCAGTGCAAGATCTACTCTAATAACTGCTAAAAGAGTGGCATTAAAATTGCCAGCTAGGATTGTGGAATTCTTTTTTCCTTTAGTTCTATCAAGTTCTGCTTTTTGTATTTTGGAGCTAAAAAGTGCCCCTTTTGTCATCATTCAGTAGTGTTCCTGTGAAATGCAGGAATCTTCTTTGTCTTTATCTGACATTGCTCGGCCTCTCTACTCTCTTACACTTACTATTTGCATGTTATAACTTTTTCCATTCGTTTACTCTCCACTTTTAAAGAGCTTATCGGTATTTGGATTTTCTCAACCATTTTATACTAACTGCCTTTATTTAGAGCCTTTGATCTATCGCCTTCTAATATAATTATTGATTTGAGTTATGTCTATCATTTTACTTTATTTACTCTTGTTTGGGGTCCACCTATCCTTCCTTCCTTGCCTTCTTTTAGATTTTGGGGAACCTAGGGTTCACCTACTCACAGATTCTTTAGCTATATCTCTCATTATTAATTTAGCAGTTGTAGTTAGTGTAGAAACCTTGCAACTAGATAGGCTTATTTTCCCAGTATCTGCACTTGTGATTATCACATACTTTACAAAAGGCCTCTTTTTTGTCCCAAGACAACCATGTATATCATAAAGAAATAGAGTCATTGGGCCGGGGAGATGGCTCAGTAGAATAAGCGCTTGCCTGGCAAGCAGAAGGGCCTGAGTTCAATCCCTGGTCCTGCCCCTCCCCCCAAAAGAAAGAAATAGATCCCTTGCTTCTACATAGACATTTATGATTTTCCATGCCCTTCATCACTACTTCCAGTAAGCTTTACTTTCTGTTGCCAGAAAAACATCTTTAGCATTTACTGTAGCTCAGGTTTACTAGTGAGTTTTTCTAATTTCCTTTTATATAAGAATTTATTATTAGGGCTGGCCAGATAGCTCAGGCGCAGGGGCCAGGGTTCGATACCCAAGCCTGCCGTGCGGGCCCCACCCCCAGGGCACATTGAAATGACGATTGAGCCTGGGCATGGTGGCACGCACCTGTAATCCCAGCTCTTGGGAGGCTGTAAACAAGCAGATCACTACCAGTCCAGTCTACTAGTGAGACCCTGAACACACTGTAGACCCTTCCCTAAAAAAAAATTTTAAAAAAGAATTTATTATTTAGTCTACTTTTCTTTGCTTATATCCACAAATATATTACAGTGGCCTACACCATAATATTCTGCACAAGTTTGCAGCCTAGGAGCACCAGCAGCCATGCCATATATCCTAGAGTTGCTGTAGGATATGAAGATTTGTCTAAGATCACACTGGTGCTGCATGGTAATGAAGCCAGCTAACCCTGAATTTCTCAGTGTATTTGTTATTAAGTAGCACATAAGTATATATATCATCACAACAAATCCCTAAAGATACTCATTTTCTCTACTAATACTCATCTTTTCCCTCCTTGGGAGTACGTTTTCCTTTACTTCATTGAAAGCATTTATAGTTGTTTTAAACCTTGTTAACTATAAACATGGATGATTTCTCCATGCCATTCACCCTTGGTCATCTCTATGGAACAGTTCACATTTTCCTTTTTCTTCATTTCATCCTCAAGCATTACAGATTTACTCTTTGAGTTCCTTTTCTCTAGAGTTGATTTAGGGTTTACTATGCCATTGCCTTGGTTAGACTCAAACTTGTTTTTTGAGGAGTAGCTCAAGTATCACTTTCTATTCTCACCCATTCTAGAGTGATTCAAGGTTTCAAGATAAATTTAAGAAGAGTTTGTACTTAAAATGTAAGGCTCTTAGTTGCCTTAAATATTCTCCTCTGATTGTTCAGACAAGAAACACTGCAGATTGTCATGGTTCCAGCTGCCCACTATAGCGCCCCCTCTGGCCTGCCTCCGACCAAGAGCCACTGGTGGCAGGCGTTCACCCAATGCTCTGCCCTCTGTTCAAGGGCTGCTGTCCTGCAGACTCCACCTGCTTTTCTTTGCTCTCCACTGCCTTGGAGAGTTGATTTCTATATTTTGTTTCAAGTTTATCATTGCTCTCTGGAAAAGTTAATCCAACAGGAGTTTACCCAGGCTTACAGAAATAATAGTATTAGCTGGGAATGTAGCTCAGTGGTAGAGACCCTGCCTAATATTTATGAGGTCCCAGGTACAGTACTACAAAAATAAACAAATAAAAGCCTTCTCTTCTTTTAATGCTCTGTTAGAAATATTAATGTGTGAAGACAACTCTCCACAGTGAAGTCACTTATGACAGTTCTTTCTACAGTTTCCAATTAAGTTAACATTAATTTCTTCCCAAGGTTTTTGGTTTTTAGTTAAAATATCTAATTAAATTAAAATTTATTATCATAGGAATGAAGGAAATGAAAAGCCTAAATTCTGCTGTAATAAAAGTAAATCTCTCAGGTTGTCTACAAATATGCTTGAATACATAAATTTTTTTGTAATTTTTTGAAAAGAAATTTATATTTATATTATTGTTTTATTTTAGCTGTCACAACTTGGACAGAAATAACACAGAAGAACCTAAATATGAGAATCTGCTTGGAACTTGGATAAATGTAAAAAGTCAAAAGAGCCAGATATTTCCCTCTCCATAACAATGTTCTGATACTGAAACTAAGATTTATTCATTTTTAAGGAAATTCTATACTTAATATAATGTATACTAATCAAAAGAATAAAGCATTTCAGAAATACAAAAGTAGCATTGTTCTCGCTCCTGTTATGTTTGACAAATGTGGAAGCATTTCAAAGCTCTCAGCGGTGGTGAACCTATGTATGCCACAGTGCATCATTTATTATTGAAAGCTCTGAAAGGTTAAGTTATAGTTCATGGTTGAAACCGGTGAAAGCTTAAAATCATACATATATTACTTATTAGTTTTATTAAAGCCATACTTACATTTTAATCATGAAACTACTTTTTCTTAGTCCATTAGTTTGCCAAATTGCTTCTACATTTTAAAATTACTGTCTTTTCCCTCTCTAGTACCTCCATGGATATTCTTCAATAAAATATCTCCTTTATATAATGTTGACAGAACAGTGCTAACATTTGGAATGGGCAGATATAAAACATTCATCACATAAAGTTCTAAATAGTAAAAGTATTAAATTTCATTGAGCGCTTTCATATGCCGCACTAACAAGGAATTTTGATCAATCATGTGTTCATCGATTCGTATTAATAAAGCACAAGTAATAAAGGTACTAAAGTTTAACAGCAGTAATTATACCCTGCACTAATTTATATCAAATTTAATATACTTCTGTTAAAAATAAAAGGTTCTGAATAAGCATAGATTAAAAACAAAGGTTTAGGTCTAAGCATTTCATTAGAAACAAATCATGTAAGGAATGTGAAAGTGTAGTCAGTAAACTTTACCCAGCTGACTACAGTAAGCCTGAATCCACAATTACTGAGCATATAATCCTTTGAGGCATGGAACACTTTAGAAATCTGATCTTGCCTTCAGGAGAATCAAGTGATAAAAGTCATTTTGATCATATTCACATCATCATGCACGTTAAAAAATCAGTAACAGATTTGCAATCCAAAAGTTTGTCTTAGAAAATAGACATGGTTCTAAACAATCTGTTAAAATTGCAAATTAGACAATATTTTGAAATGAATAGCCAACCACAAAAATACTACCTATTAAAATCTACAGATACAATTTATGAAGAATTTAAGATGTTAAAATTCAAAAGAAAATTTGATAAGGCTGAAAATCAAGTATCTGCTACGTTTGGATGTAGTTTGTCCCCAGGGGATCTGTGTGTTGGAAGCTGGATCCTCTGCTGATACGAAGAGGTGGTGGGACTTTTAAGAGTGAAGCTGGCCAAAGGCAGAGGGGTACTACTCTAGAAAAGGGTTGTCACTTGTGGGCTTCCTACATAATTATGACAAGAGAATTGTTACAAAAGAGACAGCCTGAAAGTAAAAGGATGGAACACAATACTACATGCCCCAGCACCTCAGAAAAAAGCAGGGGTAGCAATCCTATTCTCAGACAGTCTCAACTTCAAACCAACAATGATC